AATCACACCAAATATCTTCTATGGAGCGCAATATTCAAATCATTAACTTAATTGAATGAGGCCATTTATGACGCCAACAAGCTGGATGCTGTTAACGTCAAAATTCATAATGATTGCATTACTGCAGTCAGGCTTTGTTTCGACATTCCTTTAAACAAAATAAACAATAAATCAGAATCATGTATTTTTAGATAATAATTTAAAAAGAAATAATTGGTTAATCAAAATTAAGGCAACAATATTCTTACATTACATCCAAAAAATCAAATCCAATCAAAGAGAATAAAATTCGCATAAGGACTTGTATTAATAAACGATTTCGATGACGAAATTATTTGCAGAGCTACTTACCAATAATAGAAATGAAGTGTAAGGTCATCTTCAAATTCTTCACACACTTAGTTTACAAGTTATTGCCCCAACCTGGAAAAGTAACGAGTTATGTAGATCATTTTGCATTATTTCAAAATATGTCTCATACTACTAAGTAATTAAAAACAAAGCCAAAGGTTAAGAATAAAGTATAAACATTATTCTATAGTGGTATCACGTCAGATAGAAAGTAATCAAAGTGAGTCCTGCCCGAAATATAAATATTGAAATAAATAAAGTTTGATATAAAATCGAACAAAGGCAATTTTAATTGATGAGGTATATGAGGAAAATATCATTCAAAGAATGGGAAATCCTGATTCCATTCTGGACTAATGACAACCACTATTAGTAGTATTTGAAAGCTGGATCGTTAACACCTATTCTTGGTAATGCATATATGATACAGGTATATTATAACTTCTTTTAGTTTGGCTAATGTATATTAGATATTGACCGATATATACGATATAAAGCCAACCAAAAGCGGTCGAGTGATCGTTGAAGCCATGGAAGTCCTGTCAACCATATGCACTGGTGTCCACATATTTGGTATATGGGTCCTTGAAAAGTTAAAGACCGATTTGAACAAGTTTTGGGAGTGAAATTAAGTACCTTGAAGACACAGTTTGTGCAAAATTTTATGCTGACACCTTAATTGATGTATGATTTGTATGCAGTGAAGTTAAAAGCTAAGATGGAGTTGAATAGTTCATTAGACGTGAAGAAGGTGTCCTTGTCATTCGCGCTCGCCTATTTTCCCAGTGTATGACATGATTCATTTGCGGAGATATTTTCGCGAAATTCGACATGCATTATGTCCGAGACCAGACTAGAAATTTTGAAAAAGCCTTACTGAACGATTTTTGACCATTTTTGTAAGTTAAGCCTTTTTATTTAGCAATATATCTAATCTATCATAATGTGGCATGCATTACTGCACTAATCGGATTTTATTGTATTTGTGAATGGTTATACAGCTTCGGTTCAAGAGTTTTTCTTGTTTTTAACATTTAATCTTCAATTCTTCAAATTCATATATTTATTCGAAAAACATATTTTAAAACTGAAAGCAATTTGAGTATAAATTATGGGCATTGCCTTGAACAAATTGAGTCCTTGATTAATAAGACACAAGAAATTTCGTTGAAGACAACCAACTACTCTAAAGATTTTGAATTAAATATAAAATATTATGAAAGTATAAAATAATGGGTGGAGCCATACGTAGGCTCGTATATGGTCTCCTTCAAATGCTAACAGCAGAACGAATAATTCTTAAAAAAGGATCGCCGAATTAACTCAACACACACATAGAAACACCTACAAATGTGAATAGGCAAATGCAAGGCAAACGAAAAAAGAACAAATCAAAATGAGAGCTCTTTGTACCCAATTAACCAATAAGAAATGCGGTGACTTAGAACCAACAATGAAATTTCGGTGGCTACCTGAATGGATACAATCCTCAAATGCCAAAAAAACAAACGAAATCGCAAAACACAGGTATGTTATAACAAGCGTCGGGGCAGCGACAATGGCATAAACAGCTGTTTCTGAATGAAACTGAGACCGTGGCTGAGATCAAGACCGCGAACGAAGTCTGGTCTTGCGCACAAACACACGCGCACACGAGACTAAAAAAATAGATTTCTACACAAACACAGCGACAAAATTATGAGTGAACAAAGACGACATGCAGTCGAACAACAACACTAATAAATGCAATAAAACAAGCATAATTCAATTGCGAGCAGAGCGGAGCCAACTGCTGCTGAAACGGCCCACGCGCACATAGCAGAACGCTTGCAATGGCAGAGCCGAGTGTTACACACACACACTTCCACATAGAAAAGATTGATGCAGCAGAATCACGATCCGATACAGACACATTCCGATACAACGCTCTCATTCTAGCCAACTAATGCGGCCAGCGGCGGACTAAGAGAGTGGCATCGAGTTAGCCGGCAAGAGAGTGAAAGAGATGGTGTGAAAATATGCAGTGAAGCTGACGCAGACCTAAGCCAGACTCGCACGCTTGCAGTGATAAGAGTGCCGGCATCTCGCTCACCTGGAGCCGGCCGGTCGTACGTGCGTGAAGATCATGCAGCGCCGAGGGCACGTTGCAGCAGCCGTTAACGTAACCCGACTCTTTTGTACACTCTGCATCACATACATGCGCAGTACACTGCCTATGGAGACGTGCAGATTGTACACCTTCGCACGCGCACAGTCACACGAAATTTGCCTTTTGGCTTTTGCTTTTCTTTGGCGCTCTCTCGTTCACTCGCAATTCTCCACATATGAGCGCAGTGCGCACTAGCCAATCCAATTGGTATTGGTGAGCGGTGATTGCGGTTGATTGTGCGACAAGCGGCGACGTCAGCGCTGACGGCAGAAAATTGCACGAAACCTTTTTGGGAGCGCGGAGAATTTAAGCTTACGACTTGACGAAAATCACAACATAAGTTCGACACCGCTCGACGAGTCCAGATCACTTGAGTGTTATAAGTTATTATAGTAACGCATTTTTTACTGTGTGATAAAGCGAAAGACGTGCGAAGAGTTGATACTTAATATTTGAAATTATAAAAGAGATTTCCCTAAACATACAACTGAAAATTGAGCAGAACATTTTTTGAAAAAAAAAAAAGTTAAAAATCAAAAAGTACTAAAAACAAACGTGAAAAGTGTCATAGTTGAAGCATCCTTGCACAACTTCAACGAAAGAATCTTACAAAGACATTTGCTTTGAGATTCGGAAATCAAACAAAAAAAAGACAAAAAGTTTTAAAAATATTTATAAACAAAAGACCAAAATCCAGAGGATTTAATGAATTTTAAGTGTCAGTGACTTCTTTAAACAAACCACAAACACACACGCTCATACCACCAGCCAACACATACGACGGCAGTGCGACGTTCGCAAACACAAAAACTTACAAAGCGCTGTTAAACATAGATAGCTCTGGAGCTAGATGAACGTGTGGCGTAGAAGTACTACGGCGGCATAGAACCGAACTAGCAGGTCCATAACGAGCTCCACCACGACATAAGCAACGAGCAGCAGCGCCATTCAAACACACACTCGCGTTATTTGTTGCTATTTCGGCTGAACAAAAATTTTTTTTGGTGTCTTGTTTTGTGATAATAAAACAAAAACTTAAAACACGAGGCCCGGCGACAAAGCGACAAACGCAAACAAAAAAAATTAACCAAACTCCCAAAATAAACGGAGAAGCTGAAAAAGAACTCACTAAAAGCAAGAAGCGCAGCGCGCACGAAAAAAACCGATACGGTCATCATATAAATATTTCAAATATAAATATTTCATTAAAACTATTTGACACAATGGCTCAATACTTGGATCCCACTGGCCAATACTGAGCAGCAAACAGCCAAAAGCAAGGTATAAGCAGCAGCAGCAAACAAGCTTAAGCGCTTAGCGGCAAGACAAAAGGAGCAGCGTTAGAACGACGTCAGCAGACAAGTTCGCAGACACGATCAACAATCAGCTGTTTTGACTAACACGCGCGGACAAAGGCAGCAGATAAGCGGCGATAAGGTAGCTAAGTAAGCAAGTTAACAAGCGTATTGTACGTAGATAACTTTGTAGTTGTTGTAACTTTACATAATTATTTAAAACAGTTTATCACAATGGCAGGTTATCTAGATCCCACTGGTCAATATTAAGGCAAATTAGTTTGCAGACAGTTGAAAGAACAAGAAAAACTAAGAAAATTAGAAATTGTGCGAAACAACTGAAAATCGTTAAAAAGAGTTGAAAAAAGTTCTGAAAAAAAAAATTAATTAAAAAAAAATTTGTAATTTTTGAAAAAAGTTTTGAAAAATTAAAATAAAGCAAAAAAATTAAATTACGACATATTTTCAAAAAGACAAATCTAAACACAAAAAATATTTTTTGAAAAATTTTGGAAAAAGTTTTGAAATATTTTTTAAAAATTTCAACACGCTAAAAATTTGCTCGAAGCTTCAATTAACGTTCTTTTAAATAATTCTCACTAAAACTTTGACAAACATGGATATCACTTTGGACCCCACCGGCACCTACTAATTTCGCGGTTTGGTCGAAATTTTGCGGAAACATTTCCACAACTTGCAAACAAGCACTTTTTGTTGCATTTAAACTATTGCCAAACTCCAAGTGAAAATTCAATTAGCCAACATGCTCATACTCGATCCAACTGGCACCTATTTGCGACCGCCCACTAGCGCTGGTAGCCCGGCTTCGCCCACCAAATCCTCTGCCTCAAACACATCCGCCTCCGCCACACGACGCTACGGCCAACAACAGGCGAGCGCCTATCTCGATCCCACGGGCCAGTACTGAACGGCCGTCGTCGTGTAGGGACGAGGTGCCGAGTGAGCTACGCAAGTTAGCGGAATTTTCACCACTGTTGCCTTAACTTACATGCATGCAAAAGCAAAAACAACAACAATTATAGCAAAATTGCTGGCAGCAAGCATATATTTTGTCTGATTGCGTTTTTGTCAGCGATGTGAAAGCGTGTGGCAGCCAAACGCGCGCTCACACACATACACACCCATATATAACCGCACAAACGTATCCGCCAGCAAATATACACAAACGTACACGCGTTTGCAGTGCAACACACAGGCCACGTATGCCAACTGCGATGCACTGCAACTTGACTGAGGCCACAGCAGCCAGCTTCAATGCCACCTCCGCTACCGCCGCCAGCAACAGCGCCAACGAAAATCACGCGCCTGCGGTTAAAAAGCGCGTCGCCGAAGTCGCATTGGGCGGTGTGGCCGCGGCGGCGGATGGCGCTCTGTGGCTGCGTGTGCCCGGCCGCGAGGAGACTTCCAGCTGTCGGCGCAGAAGAAAGTTGGCCGCCGCATGAGAGGTCGCCAAATTCTACATATATTAAATTTTTTCTATGAATTGGAAGAACTGAAAAATGATTTAGTACATATGTATATGTATATACTATTTATATATATATGTATATGTGTATGATTTAGCCTGTAATTTATTAGTTTTGTAATTATTTATTTTAATATTTGTTGCTCACGCTCGCCCAATTTTTTTCTCGGCTTAATATTGTAAGCAATTTCTCGCTGAATGGAAGTGACCCATACATACTTACATGCATAATATTTATAAAAGTATGTATGTTGTGTTGAAATTGCCAATATTAGCGAATTTATTTCAAAAGCTAAAGCGAAAACTACGAAATTAATGACAAACAGCCGCAAAAGCACACACCTACATGTGTGTGTGTTTATATGCATATAACGTTTTTCAATAAAAGTATGCAATATGTTGATGTATTTAAACAGTATATAACAGAAATATATATTTATATAAACATACATATGCACATGTATATAGGCAAAGTAAATACTGGAAATAGTTTAATAGCCAATTTTACACGTTGACTTACAATATTAAAGACAATAAATAAATAAACTTGTAACTTGTACTCGTATATACATATATACATATATATTCCTACTGTCGGTAACCAAGTTTTCCTATTTAGCCAGCCTACATATAGTTATATGAATACTACTCTGCGTAAATATTTAAATTATATTATATATAAATTTCAGAATTTAATAAAAAATATTAAGTAATTAAGCACAGCTTTTCAGTTGAATAATGAAGTTAAAAAAAAAAAAAAAAATCAGTTTAAAAACATTACAACTACAAAAAATTTCAATTGAAAAAAAATATAAACAAAAATTTCCCCGCACAAAAAATATTTTAAGAAAAAATTTTTAACTATTATACAAAAATAATTTCAACTACAAAAAATTTCTACTGTCAAAATTTCAACTAAACAAATAACTTCAATAAAAAAATTGTAGCTACAACAATTATTTCACAAAATAATTTCACCTACAAAAGTAATTTCAACTGATAAAAATGTTAAATATTTCATGAAAAAAATGCAAACTGCAAAATAATTTTAACTACAAAAATTTTTCAACTACAAGGAAATTTCTACTGTAAAAAATTTCAACTACAAAAATTTTCTATTGAAAAATTTCGTTATAAAAATTATTTAAGAAAAAAATTAATTACAACTATAACAAAATTTCAACTGAGAAAAATTCAACTACAAAAATTGGGTCAGCTACAAAAAAAAGTACAACTACAAAAATAACTTCAAAGTCAAAAAATTTTTCTGCAACAAAAAATTATTCAATAAAAAAGTTTAAACTACAAAAAATTTCAACTTTTGAAAAAGCCATAGGTAAAGATTCTCACAAAAGCGGCGTTTTGAAAATGTTTTCGAAAGTATTAAAAATTTAGTGTCATATTAGTTGAAAGCCAATACTTTTTCTTATTTTATTTAATTAAAAACTCATAATTTTTTCATATTAAAAAAATTTATTTTTAATTTTATAATTTGCCTTTATAATTTAAGCAAACTTTATACCATCTTTTACTAAGTTTAAGTGCTGGCTCTATTTATTATTAAAAAAAAAAATCGCTTTTTACACATCACGCGAAAATATTATGTGAAATACACAGTTATTTAAGCGCATTTAAGCGAAAAACCAACGCATTGAACCATATCAAAGGAGAAATTATATTGATTTTATTGAAATGTTGTATATAAATTGTTAATTTCAAGCATTATTCATACTCACTATAACAAATATTTCCAAAATCATTGCCTTGCGCTTTAAGTAACCACACACATACACATATACACATACATGCATATAAATATATACATAAATTTTAGCAAATTTTAACTTTTTGCAAATTTATTTGATCTTAGTTTAAGTACCTAAATAATGAGAAGAAAAGCATATTTAATTATTTATACCTAAAAACATATGAGAAAATCAAAAAATATATATCTAAAAATAATGTTATTAAACAAAAAATATTGTTTTTTTTTTTTTAAACTTCAATAGTATTTGGTGTTGGAAAATATTTTGGTTAAAACACGTAAGTATTTTTTACTGTTATAGAGTCACAAATAATACTACGAATTAAGAGTTCAAAGCTTTGCTTGAAGATAATCAATAAATTATTCGAACTTGACCATGCAAAAAGTCATGCTGTAGAGGAAATCCCGAAATTTAATTTGAGAATTTTTAAAGAAAACAATAGAAATGACGAAATATAAGCACTTTTAACTCTTGTTTTGAGAACTAACTTTTCTGATGGGACCACGACCTGTTCATAATCATTACTGGTCATTAAACGAACGACTCAATCGAACTCAAACTCAATTTTCCAACCTGATTCTTGTGGTTTCAACTGCTTGATCCCGCTAAAATACTGAGATTAAAAAGCCACAGAATTTTGCAACTTGTTGATTATCAGCTTGTGGAACAAATCTATCAGGGTCCTCTTTTCTTCTTCTTTACTGGCGTAGACACCGCTCATGCGTCTGTGACCGAGTGAGTTTACAACAGCGAGCCAGTCGTTTATTTTTTCGCTATTTAGCGCCAATTCAAGATACCAACTGCAGCTAGGTCCTTATCAACCTGATCTCAAAAACAAAGTGGATGTCTTACTCTTCCTCTGCTTCCACCGGCGGGTACTGAATTGAAAACCTTCAAAGCTGAAGTGTTCTTTTTCATCCGGACAACATGACCTAGGCGCTGTCTCTTGATTCGCTGAATTATTACAATGTCGATATCGCCGTATATCTCCCACAGCTCATCGTTCCATCAACTCCGGTATTCGTCGTTGGCAATGCGCTAAGGAACATAAATACCCCGCAAAACCTTTCTCTAGAATACTCCTAAGACCGACTCATCAGCTGATGTCATTGTCCGTGCAGCTGCACCTTATAGTAAGACGGAAATAATGAGGGACTTATAGAGATTGTTCTTTGTTCGTCGAGAGCGGACTTTACTTTTCAATTGCCAACTCAGTCCAAAGTAGCACCTGTTGGCAAGAGTAATTTTGCATGAGATATCAAGACGGACGAAGATCGTAACGTGTGAGCCAAGTCACGAATACGATGACTGATTAGATATTTCGTTTTGTCTTTGTAGCTTTGCAGCTCCAGCAACGTCAACTTGTACAGCCATTTAGCTTTGCGGCGATACCAAGTTCAGACATAGCTGCATAGAGCAAGTTTCTCTTCGTGCTGTCGAAGGAGACTTTAAAATCGACAAAGATGTGATGTGCTTCTGATCTTCCTTTAACGGGTTTTTCCCAAGATTTGGCAAAAATCTGGCCGATAGTAGATTTTTCCGGTCTAAAGAAACACTGATAAGATAATATTCACACTACTCACGAAAGACCTTATATGTGACATTAAGAAAGCTTATCCAATGGATTTTCATGAAAATTGGTGAGATTTGTGCGGATCGGAACCTTTACTTCGAAATTAATACTAGAGTCAGATATTCTGAGGACCCAGTTGTCATATTTTACACTTCTGAATGGTTAATGTCAGAATATAGTAGAGGCGTGGACTTAGATACGGCATTCGATTAGCGATTCGCAGCAATTCTATTACAATTTGGGTTTGACTTCAGCTGTCTTCTGTGACAGAACGTCGAATAATTTTTCAGAGCAACTGTTATGAGGTAAACATAAATTTTTAGCTGAATTATTCTTCAATTAACAAAACTGAACAGGAAGCGTTCTACTTTTTCTCACAAGAAAGCATTTTCACTTGAAAAGGTATTCTTTAAAGATCTTCCAATGAATATGGAATATTGAAATTCAACAAACAAGTTCTCAATATTGAAAAGAGGGTACGCTTAGATAAATCTGTAGATGGGACTAACGAGGTGACTAAGGTCATAGTGTTTCTTGAAGAATCTAAATATACACATAATGGGTCCATATGAAGTCACGAATTTTTTCTGATGTCTATTTTATTGCAACATATGTATATTCTTTAGTCTAACTTCAGTAAACCTTAAATTTGAGATTTGAACCTCGTTGTTTTGCAAAGACTTTACATCATGCCAGACATACCGTGGAAAAACGGCTCTCGTCGCCAGTCTCTTCTTAAGCATTTGCTAGCCCTAAATTACAATTATGTCAATAATTAAGACAATTAAACTATTAAAATGTGATATTAAACATGGTAGCACTATATTTATGTAAACATACTAGCTAATCTAAAAAGACAGCTACATAATTATTGCCAGCCTATGTTTATATAAATTTATCTAATCACGAAAAAAATTATAATTATTCAAATGTATTGCGGAACCACCTCTCTGTGACAATAGAAAGGTGGCGGCGCACCAATTTGTAGCACTCGGGAGTGACAACAAAATTTGTGATGCAGCCGACCGGTTGGCCATAACAAGCCAACATACCAACCTAAATACACATTTCTGGCGAGTATAAGGTGAATCGACAGCAAAAAAGCTGTGCACGTATATATATGTGCTAATATGTACATGTTCTACATACCCAACAGTGAAAATTGTTAGACAAATATGAACTGAGATACTTCATGGTTAACGATAACGATTGAATATCGATAAATAGATTCAAAACAAACTATCGTTAAACTTGGACAGAAAGGGAATCAAAGCAGAGCAGAATGTACAGAGATCAAATAACAAATCGTTCTTAAAATTTTATACTCCGAAAAGGATATATTAAGATGTTTGTAACACCCAAAAGAAAACGTAGTCCCTATAAAGTATATACATTAGCTGAGTCGATTCTGTCATCTGTCTTTCTATACGCCAATTAGTCCAAGTAAATGATCAGAATCAAATGTTTGTTTGAAATTTTTTTGAAGTTCTCTGAGCGTCATTCACTTGGGAGTGGAAAAAAAACGATTCTTTTACAAATGGCTCAAGCAGCTCACGACTTCCGTTCTGAGACCAAGTATCAATGTCCGGTCCTCCTATAGAGAAGGTTCCGCTGCCTAGCAGGCTGTTGTCCTCGTAAATATAAAGGCTGATATCAGCGCCGTCCAAGAGGAAGGATTGAGACGAGTTAATCCTTGTGGCGTTCATTAGAGTGGCCATTTAAAGAAGCGCTAATTCGGTAGGAGACTAGTGGTGGGTGAGAGACTCCGTCGCCGAGTCCTCGCATTTATTTCGGTGGCAGAACGTCTAGCTACTAACCGCATCAAAGTGAGATATCGCTGATTTCCGTCCACGCTCCGACGGAAGAGAAGAGCGATGTAACCAAACATGAATTCCATGAGTGCTTGGAGCACATCTATGAGATCTGCCCCCGCCACGATGTCAAAATCGTTCTTGATGACTATAACGCCAGGGTGGCAAAGAAGTTATCTTTGGCAGAAAGCCAAAGCCTCCATGATAAAATATCCCCAAATAGGTTAAGATTGAGGTCCTAACATCGACTTGAACCACCATCTGACCACTATCTTGTTGTAGCCAAAATAAGCAC